AATCCTGAATTGTGCTTCTAGCATCATGGTGACCCCAAAGTAGTCTTCAACCGTGCAAAGCAGTTTGAGGAGTACCCGTTTGGATCGTTTGAGCCCGACGTTTCTAGGATTCCGATTTGTTTGTCGGAATCAATTCGCAGGTGGGTCTGAAAAGCTAGCCAATGGTGAGTGAGTTTATGCGCCTGTAAAGAGAAACTCACGGAGTGCTTAAGGGGAATCCATGAGGAGCCCGAAGCACACCTTTTGATGAGAATTACCCTGTTGCCCAGTGACGTTGGTAGAGAGAGATAAAAGTGAATAACTTTCAGTGGCTTCATACGGAAACCCCAAAAAGTTGGCAAACAGTCAAGTCCTAACATCCTTTGACAAAATGCACCAAACATTATCGGGGATCGTTTTTTTTGCAAAATACACAACCAAAGGATCCGGCTCAACGGAAAAGGCCACACTTTTTGGGGGTTGACTCATGATTTCAAGAAACATAACCACAAAATGGATCTTGGCCCAAGGAGTCCGAACACTTTTGGTTGCCACTCAACTGGGTTGCTCTTCCTGAGCAAAACCTCTATAGCACCTTTTGTTCGGCAAAGCCATTTGTTTCCAAACCATTGGTCTCCGAGAAAAAAAAGAAGAAGAAGAAAAACACATCTCGCTGGTGTGTCTCAGAGGGTGCGACAGGGATTTCGGGACCCGAAGGCCTGGCTGAGCCTCGTCTATGGACACCGAAGCATGGCCAGAAACGAGTCCGAGCTGCGGAAAAATCGAGCCACCCGTCCCAGCACTCGTCGCTATCCGGAGAAAACACGTGACACCGAACGTGAAAAGACTCCATACCGACACGAGCATGAAAGGCTCCAAGACAAACGCAAGACGCCTGAAGGGATACCAATTCTTGACTCGCCGTCCGAATTTTGCGAAACACATCTCCGGGAAGACGCCCAAAACTAAATCCTGCAGTCCCCTTGTGGTTTAATTTTTACCCATACCCATATTCAGCCTGGCAATGACATGTTCAAACCGCTCTTGTTTGCAATGTGGCTTCCCCCGGCCAGGAGAACCAGGTACAAAGAAGTCTCGCCTCTTGCTCCACGTGCAAGCGGTCCCAGGTTTGCTGCTCATACTTCGCCACACCTGAGGGTGGCAGTTGCCCCCGGCAAAGTGCAGAAAACTGTCCGTCATTCTTTGCTGGCCGGTGGCCGTATTTGGCCGTATGCAGCCCGTATTTGTTCAACAAATTGTTGACAAAAAAACAGTAAAGGACCGTATGGCTATTTTTTGCCCAAGCCGCACGGACAGAACAAAACGTCACATATGGGTTTCCAGGGCCCTAAGCTCTAAGCGTTAGGACCCGCCATTCGGAGGACCCGTGACCGATGATTCAAACAAACAGCATTCAAGAGGTTAACATCCCGTCCTTCCAATTTTACGCCCGAAAGAATGTCCGGGATCCAGTCCCAGCCATGTTGGGACCAAAAGGCCAGATAAACGCAACGCAATACGAGAAATATTGATGGAATCCTACGCGCTGGGGTACCTTACGGGGCGCGGGTAGTTGAGAACCCGTTTCCGGGCTCTTTAGGGTTCCTGAAACGGGTTGCTTAGGAAGCCTTATGAAAGCCCCCGCCCCCCAAGGAAAAGAAACCTTTCCAAATGGTACTCTCTAAAATATGGCTCAGCACAAAATCCACAGGCGCCAGGTCCAATGTTTGAAATCGATCGATCGTGGATTGTTGTACCGGGTGGATAAAAAAGAAGAAGATAGTGTTGAGGATAATGAAATCGATGATTCTTGAAAAAATAAATATTTCAAGACACCTCAGTGTGTAACTGCAAACATGTCATAATTGTACCCATCCACAATACAATCATGAAGAATGAGAGTCAACCACCAGCTCGGAGAACCCGGTGAACACAATCTCAGCAAACAGTTCCTCGCGGGCTACCCTACCCTCAAAAGACACTCCCGGGGATCAAATCCTGAAACCACGGATCCAAACCACGTCAGGCAGTAAGGGTGGCCTGAAACAAACAAAGAAAACAACTCAAAAGAAAACACACCAACACCACACAAACAAACAAACAAACAAACAAACAAACAAACAAGCAAGCAAGCAAACAAACAAACAAACAAACAAACAAACAAACAAACAAACAAACAAACAAACAAACAAACACAAAAACACACTTAAACACAACCAACAGAAACACTCACAACAAAATAATAATACCCAACAACACAACCAGGACCAAAACCGCGACTGAGTGGTGGTCGGTTGTTGGCCGAAAACCTGGGGCCGGCACCGGCATCGATCTTCGCCAGTGCCTGGCAGGTTCCCGAGTTTTCGGGTTCGAGATTAGGTTGAAACCCTCAGTTGTTCGGTGACCCTGGGAAAAAAAAGGGCACAGAACCCTTTTTGGGGCTTGGACCGGATTTTTCGTGGGGCAGCCACCAAAATAAAGAAGGAAAAAGAATTGGTGACCACTGAACAACTGAGAACCACTAGAAAAGGGGTGCCGAGGCCCAACAGGAGACACATTCCCATATGGCGCGTTGAAGGGGTTTTATCGCGGGAGGGACCCTTTGCCAGGTGCCATGTGGGAGAACAAATTATCGGCTTCCTTCCAATTGGGCTGTGGGTCAAAACCAATGGTACCCCAGGTGAAGATCAAAATAGGTGGCGCATGGGCGTTCATCCGCCCCAAAATGGAGGCATAGGTTGTGACCCATGGCAAAATCACATGGATTGGCCGAAGTAACTAGATCCTCCAGATTTGAGAGGTTAGACTAAGGGTACCAACTTGTTTTTATGCAGTCTATTTTAGGGGAACCCTCCCCCAAAAAAGGGTAAAAGGGCACTACTGGGGGACCTGGGTAAGCAAACTACTTCTACTTACCACAAGAATGGCATCTAAACCCAACAAGTGACCATCAAGTCTGTGTTTCCGGAACTCGGGAGGTGAGTTAATCGGTGGATAAAGGGACCCCCCCCAAAGCACTGCCGGGAAGTTAGCTAAAGAGATAGTTGGTAAGGAGTTGGCGAACTTCTTGTAGAATTTCCTGCTCGTTTCTTAGAGTCGAACAGAACAGTCACAAGCAAAAACAAGCCATGACAGGAAACAACATGCTCAGATTCTGCTTCATGTTCAAACAGGACAAAACAAGTCTCGGAGACGCATTTCTAACGCTTCTTCCGCACATATGCCCCCTAGCCGCGCATACTGCAACTCGCAGCCCTAAGGCTCCCGATTGCTTTGGGGCCCTCAACATGGGCTGTGCTTGAGGGCCCTTGAGGGGTTCGGGTTTTTCATTGGAGGGCTCGGGGGCCTGCATTGTAGGGGCCGTAAGCCTTCGAGAGCTTGGAAAGTAGAGATGGAACCCGCAATCCCTGCAATACTTACCCACATTTATCCCCCCAAATGAGTGAAATGGCCGTGGCTCAAAAAACCGGAATTCCAAAATGGGTTGCCCTGGTAAGTGGAAGCATGGACCAAAACCTGCGGTTTGCCCCTCCGATCGTTTAATTTTGAGCCCACCCAAATGTCAATACGTAGTACTTTGGCCCCGCGTCGCGAGAAATCTGTCCGCCTCCTCGGATTGCTTCGCCGCCCGGACTTTGGGTTTGGCGCCTGGCGCCATAATTTTTGCCCAGTGAATCGCAGGTTGAGAAGACTAAAATTTGAGTTCGGGTCGCTTCGCTTTGGGCAAGTGAGAATAGTGAAGTTGCCGCTGGCTTGTCTGAGGAATCGAAGCCCCAAAAATGGTAGGGTTTACTCATAAACCGGAAATCAGGGACCCCCCCCGGAAAGGACCCAAGCCACTACGGGTACTTGTTCTTTGGGTCTGTCCTGTTCTTGATGCTCGGTACCCTGTTTTTCTGATTTTTGTTTGAAGGACAACCACCATGAATTCCGGGGTCCAACCTCAAAAAAGAGACACCCATTCTTAACATGTGCTTAAACTATGTGTTTTTCTTGGGGTCAAACTGGCGGCTATTCTCAGGTCCGTCAAGTGCATTGGGACGAAGATTGCTTGAGCAACCCTCCGTTGCTCCGGGGTCAATTAAATCTGGCGTCGCTGGATTGCTAGTACCCACCAGAAAAAATACAATCTTTCAGGGGGAAGTCCTTGCTTTTGACGAGCAGTGGGTGCTCGGCTTTTTGCTGGAACACACCAGTAAATTGCAACCATGAAACAGAGGGAACTTCAGTGATTTGTGTTAAAAGTGGTATCAATGTCTGGGGGCATGCGTGGAGGATCCTCAGAAGGGATGTGCATTCGAGTGCCTTTGAACAAAAACGTGACATAGATGGTCATGGAGTCATGAGGCATTTTGTATCCCCTATACAGTAGAAAGGGGTGCGCGTCTTTGAGCAAACGCTGCTCCCCCCGGAAGACAAAGGTGCAACTTGTCCTGCATGTCCACCCAAGTGGATGGACATGATCCACTTCGCAGCAATGGAACAATCTTATTGGGACATGTCGAATGCCTTCTGTTCAAAGCGAACCGCCCAACTTCTGACCAACCTGTAAGTAGCTGACACAACTACCACTACAGAAGAACTCAAATAGGAAAATAACCAAACAATTCCGATACCCAAGCGCAACGCAAGCTGCAAAATCAATGAAACAAGTCACAACTTGTTGGTCATGGTCATAAGGTAACAAGGTTAACTCAGTTCCGGATTTGTTTCTCAGTTGTCTAAAGGACCTGGAAATAAACGATTAACCTTTTCGGGCCATACGTAAATATGGGATCCCAAAAACCTGGAAACCAACAGGTCAGATCTGATCGATTCGCTTTGGATAAGTGAGTTGTTGTTGAGTGATCGCTAAACATGCTTAGACATAGAGCCCCTCGGAACCTGTGTGTATAGGTTGGACAATTGCCCCAACTCCTATCCATGCACTCTGGTTTGGGAACTTGAGACTGGCCACAAAGGCGTTTGGCAAGGCAAAAGGTCATACTTAAGAGTAACCAAGATTTGTGTCCGAAGAACAGGGTTGGGACCCCAAAATGATTGGCTTCTCCTTGGTGAGCTTTCAGCTTGCTCGAAACATGGTTCCACGAGACACCATTACGGTCTATGTTTGTTGCGTTATTTCAAGAACCAAAAGGAAGCCAACCATAAGGGTTTCTTGATTTCGGTGTCGCATTTTAGAAATAACCTAACCATAGCCGTTGTCCCTTTCACTTCCCTGCAACCAAAAAAGGTGCCCTGTAACAACCACAAACCCAGGCAGTCACACCTGCTTTCTTTTCGAAAAAGAAGAAAACAACGAATGAACCCGAATAACCCAAGGAACCGGATGTCTGGGGAGCACTTCGTGTGATTTTGTGACAAACCCATTCATGTGCGTGTCTCTTTTAGGGAACCCCCGAAGAAAAAAAAGGCAGGGTTTCTCTCTTTTTTGCTCCCCCCCCCAAAAAAAAAATTGGGCAAGATGGCGGCGTTCTCCTTTTGGCCAAAAGAAAGACGGGCTTGAAAAGTCTGGCCGCCGAGAACCAGACCCAAGACGGGAAAAAACACGAAAGAACAAGAAGGAAAACATCCTCGAAAAAAAAAGAAGAAAACAAAAAGAGGACAGGCCCCAAAACCGGCGCCGCCGGCGGTCTCTCCCGGTCACTTCCGAGCTGCTGGGCTCCGGCTCGGGGATCTCTGGGGGTTCCTGGAGCGGAAGCGGCAGGTACCTTGAAGCCGCTCAAGTCTGAGAACCTCTTGTGCTTCTTAGAAGGTCTCCATTTTTGTTTCTTTAACATGTGTTTTGGAAGGGAAGGCTGAGAAAAAAGAAAAGTATTTATGTAGTTATGTTGGTGTTCCCCTAGAGACAAGTTCATCTTGCTGGTGGGCTTCTTTTCTTTTCTTTTTCTGCATGTTATTTTTCAACTGTTCAACTCTCCAAGCCACCAATCCAACCTGCCAGAGCTGCCTGGGTTAGGGAGGCTTCTCGGTTGGCAACCGGAAACCCGCCAATTTCGGGCAGCCCCCCCGCAAGCTCGTGGTTATCTCCGAAAGCGAGCTGAAACAACGCGCGAGATCCGCGCCTCGTCCAGGGTTTGAAAGTCCTCCTGGCAGATCCGAGGCGAATCCGCTTCCCGCCCTCTGTGCATATGGTGGGCTTCTCAAAGTGGACTCCAAAACCTCTTGCTGGCTGGTAAATTAAAGTAAAAGAGGAAAACCGTTTCCATGATAGAAGATCACAACTTTTAAGTGCCACGAACCCCTCTAAACTCCAACATTCTAGAGAATCCCATGTAAATCCAAAGAGGGGGGGTTCCGTAAGGCTCCCTACACAAATCTAGGGAACGGTTAGGAGCCCTCGGGCTCTCAACTACCCCTTTGTACCTACCTTCAGGATTCCATGGAGAGTACGGCTGGAGCCTTGGAGCACAATCTCTACCGAAGTGCTTAGAGACCCCCCACTGTGACCTCCAGTACATCTAGAAAAGGTCATGGGTCAAAAAAGCCCGTACCCCCAGTGAACATCCCAATCCCCACTAATATAGGTTCTAAAATGGGTGGTGCACCTACCCCAAAATGGTACCATTGGTTTTGACAACCACAGCCAAAACAGCTTGGATGCGCCTTTTATGGATCTCGCCTGTTCTTCCCCCTGTGGCCCATGTCTTTTTTTAATACTCTTACTGTACACTTTTGATATCCTACGGGGGTGGATTTACAGAAGCTTCTAGGGAAAGCTCAGATCCCTGTGGGCTTCACCACAAAAACTCGGCAATCCCCAAGAACACTTAGTAGACCTCCAGCACATTATTCAGTGGCCCCCCTGGGAGTTTCTGGGAGATCCGAGCGGTGATAGCTATCTTATCATTGAAATTGTCTCCAGAATTGGCTTTCACGGCTAACCTAATCCCATGTCCGATTGAGTCCTAGAGACACAAATTCAGCATGTAAAACTACACATATTCAACACATGAGAATAGATAGAATCTTCCTTTCTCAGATCATAATGGCAATTCCCATCTTGGCATCTCTTTCTCATGTCCATCCTGGGGGAAGACGAATAGGCAGTGGATCGCTGTTTCTATCAAATCTTTTGGTTCCAAGAGGAATTTGCTTTTCTTTCCACAAAACTTACCAACTGACCTGTAACCTGACGGGACGTTGCTGAAAGAACGTTTTCCTCCGGCGAATCCGCTGTCTTTCATGCTAGTGGCAAGGGGACGGCCCCCCTTGACCCCTCGCCGGTTTGGACATGGCTTTCGGTCACAGATATCAAGCTCGTACTGAGGAATTGGCAATAATAACCCACCCATCGATCTTACTCTTCCCTCCATATAGCCTCAAAACTGGGGGTGGTTCCCTCTCTTGAGTGAATTGGCCAAAAAATTGGCCAACCTGTTTGTTCGCCATGAAAAAGGCAACCAAACCCCAAAAGCATTTTACAACAGTAGTAGTGTGATTCACGGACAACAAGCCCAAAGTATCGCCTTTCGGCTTGGTTTGAACGGCTCATAAACGGTCCAACAAACTAGCAAAGGACCTGGAAAGACATCATCATTTTTTCTAGACTTGGGATTCCAATTTTTGACTCACACCCACATGGACTGAGATGGACGTTGGCAACACCCAAAACTGGCACTTTGTAAGACGTGCCAGTTGGTTGCCAGGTTTCTTTAAACGGGCACCAACTCAAAAAAGGGAACCACACTCTGCCCCGATTCAGAAAAGTCAGACAGATCGGGCAATTGCCCGGAAGATTATAGAGCCATACTTTCTAGGAGGCACCTAGAGACACGTGGTCCGTCCCCTAGATTGGGCATAATAGGGCGTTCCCGAAGAAAAACAACACTAAATCAATGGTGTTATTGAAGATCTTGAAAACGTACTTTTGAGAAAAAAAAATGATGGTAGTCATAACCGATAATAATAATAATAGTAATAATAACAGTAATGATACTGTGGATGGACGAAATCCTGCACTGCCCAGGAAACCCTGGAATGATGATTCCCCTGTAAATACCAACAAACAATAGGTTACCCATGGTTTTGAAGTGGTGCGTTGCCGGATTTCGTCCATCCACAGAATTAATCATGTGAATAGTGCCACTAATGCAAATAACAAAGACAAACGCACCCTCCGCCGGGCTGCCCGATTCCGCGGCCTGTGGATCCTTCCGCCGGAAGCCCTGATTCAAGGCGATCCGAACCCAGTCGGAAACCGGAGGGGTAAGCTTCAGCTTGGCAATTCCAAGTCTGGCAATTCCAAGTGGAGCCAACAGCGGGTGGTTGTCCTTTTGGTTTTCTGTTGGTTCTAAATGCGAGGCGTGTAGTTTTGCGGGTATCCTTTTGAAGGTAGACTCAAAGGCAACAAACCAGCGAGGTCTCCAAGCTTGGTAGATTCCCATATTGAGAAGCCTCAAAACGGGCGGGTTGCCCTGTTTCCGCCATGTGCTTCAGCCAGGCAAACAGACAGGTCTTTTAGGTGGCATCCTCAGGGCTTGTCGCAGAAGGTAAGGTGGCTCTAAAGCCGCCTGGGCAGTTCCGTCGCTTCTGACCCCCAATGGGCATCGCTGTGATTTGCGCAAACTAAAGAAAGCAAACGGCAAGCGCTCCCAGTTGATCAGTCCCAGAAAGCACATCAAAGAAACAATTTATGCAAAAAAGAAAGCAACTCCACCCAAACCAACTGTCCAACCGTCACAGACCCGATTGAACCGTGCGCAGTGAGCGACCCCTGTCAGTGGAGGATGCTAGGGATAAGACTTCTGGATGCGCTACCAAAGAACGACCTGCGTTGAACTTGCCCTCAACACACTGGCATAGCGGCCCATGTCATCCCTTTGTCGATTGGGCCACTCGCAAACCGACCTGGCTGGAAATCTGGGTGACTTATCATACTTCACCAACCTGAAAGGGGGATATTCCCTGCATAAACCACCATTTGGGGTGAGGTCCTGTGAGGTCGCTACTAATTATTGAGTGGCATGTCTCTTTTCAAGGTTTTCCAGATTTGAGAGCTTAGAATACGGGCACCCACACTTTTTGCTGATCTTTGCTGTCTATTTTAGGGGAACCCTCCCAACCGAAAAAGTTACGGTGAGAAAGGAAATGCACCAATTGCCGGACCTAGTCCCTGGCCGCAGCCTGCCCGGAATCCTCGCGCCGGCGAATCAGAGGAATCCCCGCGCCGCGCCTTGCCCTTCTTCCCACTCCTACGGCCAACCGCGCCAAAGGCCTCGTTTAGTTTGTGACCCTCCCATCCACATGGGGCACGTCCCTCACAGTTCTTCGTGGACCATGTTCCTTTCAACGGGAGCCGCCGGTAAGTCCCATGTTGGTGGACCATAGGCGACCCTTTAAAGTCTGAAGAGTTGTTTTGGGGTTAGCTGGGCGCGGGGTGGTTGTTCCGCCCCTGAAAGGGAAACCATACCGTTGACAAGCTTGGAAGGCCAATGTTCTGCCATGATTTGGATTGAGGTGTCGACGTGAATCCTTAAGAGAAAGAGAACGGCCAGGGGTCCCTGGTTGCATGTTTCCGAGCTGCGTTCCGTGTGAGCCAACATCGTCCAAGCCAAAAACTTCTAGGGGGCAATGTTGCAAGCATAGGTGTCCTTTTTGGCAAAATAGATGGCCCTGGTAGTTGATTGAACCACCAGGTAAACCAGGGCCCTCTATTTGTTCAACCAAATCAACCAAAAAGGACACCAGTGGTTAAACAGAAGCGGATACCGGCCAATGTTCTACCTTGCCTTGATCATCCGATCACTTTCAAAGTCAACCGATGGTTTTTGTTCCTACGGCTCTGGGACTAACCATGGACCACAGGCGCCAAACGTGAAGAGCGCCTTGCGCTGGTTCAGTTAGAAACCCTTCAGGAAAGCTCTGAAAATCGTGTTGAAACTGCTTCATGTGACCCCACCAATCTTGGCTGCCCTCAGATCCCCCGCTGAGAGTGACTAGCTGTTAGTGGGTTAAATGGAACTGCCACTAAAGACTAAAAAGCTAAGAAGATCAAAAAGGCTAAGGAACCGGATGGCTGGGCTCGCCACCAAGCAATAGTCCTTGCTGCAACCAAATCGCATCACCCGAGAAAAGTCAAAAGGCGCGATCGTCCCGCCTGTCCGGCTTGAGGTCTTCCACCTGGAACCGCAAACACTTGGCTGCTGTAGATCCCCCAGCAAAAAGTTTTAAACTTTTTGCTGGTTAAAAGGAAATATGAGGGGAATCCTAAAAGTTAAAGTCTAGTGATCCAACCCAATAGCAGTAGAGAACAGGTCAGCCTCAGGGGTCCGCTCAAAATGGACCAAGGGAACACCCAAAGATCATTTCAGGTCGATTCGCTGTGGGTTGCAACTGAGGTCGATCTAGCCTTGGACCCCCCAAGCAACCGGAGTCTCCTTCTGACCCTTCAGAAATGGGGTCATCATCTAAAGGAAAGGGGCCATGGCCGGCCCCATGCTTGATTCGGGTCTCCTCTATGGTCACCAGTCTATGTAGAGCAGGGAGTGCGTAGATGGAAGCCCTCTGGCGATTGTTTTAAGAGAACACGAGAAAACACTTTGTAACTATAGGCTTTGAACAGAGTTTCCAGCACTTCAACAAAGTTGCCCGCGGATCCATTTTCGTGGGATTTGGAGTCAAAGACAGAGCTCGAACTGAAAATGCAATGTGTACAACCAATTTTGCAGTATGATACAGAATAGCGAATCACTGGGCCTTAAGTGCATGTCTGCAAAGTCCAACTCTTGGTAAGTCGTCATTGTCCATAGACACAAAATATCACCCAACACAGCTTGCCAATCCCACCACCATGTCGCGACGGCTAAGCTCCAAAAATGGCATACACCAAAGAAACACAATCCGCGCTCTTCTTGAAGCCACACGGATACACCTTGATGCAACTAGAGCTTGACCTGACTTCGAGACCAAATTGGGTTGCCGCGTGAGGAACATGGATTGGCCCATAGAACTTCACGCGCTCAACGACTTGGAGGGTTCCCTGCCAGTCAGCGATTTTGAATGGTTGACAGTTGGCCATGGGTCAAAATCCAAATCGGTTAGCCCCAGTGAACATCAACCAATTCCCGCTAAAATAGGTTCCGAAATGGGTGGTGCACCGAAAACCCCAAAATGGGATCCCATTGGTGAGGCAAACCCAGAGAGTCCCTTGGTAATTACCTCGCATTCGCCAAACAAAAAAAAACATGAGGAATCTGACGAGTCCCCTTGAATCAAGCGTGACACCGTATTTATACAGGCTATATCGACCCTGTTTTTGTAAGGCTCAAATGCGTAACATGTTGCGCAGGGAGCCTTGCTTGAGGTATGGATTCGGACAGACGCAACGCACTGCCGGACGCACCACGTGGACATGCACGAGTGTTTTTGGTGAAAAAAGCAAAACAAATGCGTTGCTGCTCCCTGTCAAAAGTTCAAGACCTGCATGATCAAGTCTAAGGTTTCAACGTGTTGGATCCTAAGGAGACAGGACAACAAACAAATGCTATTGGCCATACACACCAATCTACAGGCAGTCATTGGTAGTCACTCTTTGAGGCTCTTGTCCAAAACCAGGAGTTGGATTGGCCCGAACTTTTGGTTTGTGACGAAAATGGACAGCAAAAAGTGTCTAAAGTCCAGGAGCTTGAAAATTAAGCAAATGATGAGGAGGAGAAGGAGGAGGAGGAGGAGGAGGAGAGGAAGGGGAGGAGGAGGCAGAGAGGAGAAGGAGTCCAAAGGCAAACCTCCTTTTCCACCCAAAAAAGTCGCCGGCGATGTTAAATCGCCTCTGCGAAAAGGCCGCTGAAGTCCTGCCGACCGCAACGGCTCGAAGGTTTGACGGCGTCAAAAGGAAAACTGAACCAACCAGCCCAGGCAGCCAACCAACCAGCCCAGGCAGGCGGCCAGCCCGGGCAGGCAGCCAGCCAACCAATTAACCAATTAACCAAACCAACCAACCAACCAACCAACCAACCAACCAACCAACAACCAACCAACCAACCAACCAACCAACCAACCAACCAACCAACCAACCAACCAACCAACCAACCAACCAACCAACCAACCAACCAACCAACCAACCAACCAACCAACCAACCAACCAACCAACCAACCAACAATCCAATCCAATCCAATCCAATCCAATCCAATCCAATCCAATCCAATCCAATCCAATCCAATCCAATCCAATCCAACCAACCAACCAATCCAACCAATCCAACCAACCAATCCAACCAATCCAACCAACCAACCAACCAATCCAACCGAGCGACCACTCCAACCGAGCGACCGAGCGACCGCAACAAAAACAACAACCACTTTTCTCAGCTCCCCGCCCATCGGTGGTTTGGTGGTTCAGGGCTTGCCCTTTGACCCTCTGCAAGCACTAGGGTTCAAATCCGAATCCGAGCCACCAATCCAAACCACACATTTTGGGAGTATCCGGGTTGGGAATGGCTCAGCACAAAATGAACCTTCATGGAGATTGGATTGGATTGGAGCAGACATAGGATCGGACGCAAGGAAATGCAAGGAACATCAAAAGAGAAGCTAAAGTAAGACCTAGGGATACAATTCCATCTACTAACGGAACCTGACTGAGGGGTCGTTTCCTTTCAAAGGGGCCCTGTGGTGGGTTCCATGCTCGTGGGCAGTAGGGCAATCAAAACGTCAACTACGGCGTTTCGAAAACAACAAATACTCGTAACAATTGGGGTTGTCTTGGATCAAACACAGATCACTGAAATGGTCGTACTTGTTTGGCTTCCCTTCAACCAACACAAGGGTTTCCTAGAGAGACACACACCTTGCCAACAACTGCAGCCCTCCCGTGTAACATGGTTCTAACCGACCCAGGGTGTTACATTAGTGAAATCCACAACGCAGCGCTCCAATTTGGTCTTTCCCCAAGCACCAAAAAGACAAGCCAAATGGCAACCAGATGTGGAGCGCTTCTCCGTTGGCAACAGCTACCTATGGAGCTGGGCCCTTTGCTGATCGCGAAAGGCTCACTGGTGATCCCGTCGCGAAATCTCCGAATCTTCGTCCCCGGCGACCTTCCGAATTTTCCTGACGACACAATTGTCACAAACAAAACCAAGAAACCAACGGTTGCAACTTAAAAAAAAAAAGAAGCGCCGCTTTTGGAGGTTCCCTTTAAAAGGGAACTTGAGACATGGACGCTCCCAACCCCGGTTCCGGTTCCGGCCTCGGGCGACTCTCGCCCAGGGGTGATCGCAGGGACTGGCAGACGACGTGGAGTGTCGGAATCAAATCTGAAGGACACTTCTAGTCCAAAGACGCGATGTACCCCCCAAAAAACGGCAGTGGGTCAAAAATGGGTACCCAAAATGGCTTGCCCTGGTAAATGGAACCAACGACTCAAACCTGCGGTCCCTTGATTCGTACACTTCTCCGGATTAATCAAAACTCAGACTGAATCCAGGCCCAAAAATTGGCTTGAGCCCGGAAACTGAGCGAAACATCCAAAAATTGGGCTTCTGTGCCCTTTTCCATGGCTCTTTGGAGGCTGCCGATGAGGGAATCGCCTGCGTTTTTGGCCAGAGTTGCAATCACTGTGCGTGTTGGCAAGGGTCTCGCAAACAACACACGGCTTTTCAAGAAAGAGGGCATCCCAAAAAATCATTGTCGATGCTCTAATAGAGCAAGCAAGGGCTGATACAATCGGATGTCACACCTCATCAAATGCCTCGCTTGACACAAGTGCTTGCTCGTGAGTTCTGTCACCTGGATTGGCTCCCTGCCACACCTGCCTGAGTCCTATTTGCAGTCATGCATGCCAACAAACACACGAAGACTGTGGCCCTTTCGCAAACCTCGCGCGGCGCTTTCGCGGCCTGTGAACATCAAAGTCTTGAGAACGATGTTCCTCCCAACTACTACTTTCAGATGCCGGGAGTCTAGAACGTCGTCACGTAGGTCGCTGCCTCTATACCCTTGGCAATTGCACCAAACCTGACACACACACACACACACAAACATGACACAGACACAGACACACACACACAACCACACATTTCGTCCATCAACCTCTTTCTATATGGGTATGCCACATGTATTCCATAAGATTTACCCCAGTACATGTACTTCTACCACCTCTAGTCACACTACATGATCACATGTCAGCATGCGTAGTGATAGCTGGCTCCCCAAAATTGGACTCCTTGGCTTACTCTCAGGGTATGGTACCCAGAAAATATGCTCAACTGTCTCATATTTGTGTTTTTGTTGTTATGCAAAGATCTACCATGGGTATGAATGCGCATAGCCAACTTTGTGGACACTAGGGGAATCATGTCCACTTTTGAGGATCCAAAATCAACTGATACACCTTGAAACCATCGTTGGGCTCTCGAAATTGCAGGCCCCCCTTTTATGTAGCGTCTAACATCAACTCACAAGGCGAGGGTGGGGACATACTGTGGGGGGAACAATCCTGCAACTCTTGGGGTGCATAAAACCTTAAATTCATGGGATACACCACCAAGCCCTATTTGGTGCAACGTTACTTTTGTCCATCTATCGCATTGGTTTCCAAGTAGCGGGTAAACGCAACCGCTGTTCCCGAAATGAGTCGGTCACTGCAAAGACTTCAGGTGCCCTGAAGGAACCTGGAACTAAAAGGTGATCAGCTTTTGGGTTGCCACTCAAAAGGAAAACTCAAGCCAATACTGGATATAAAAAAACAACACCTCAAAAGGTTACATCAAAAGGTCCCCTTTTGAACCCCAAACTGAAAAAAAAAACACGAGGAAACACAAGAAACGATCATCCGTTTGATTCGCCTTGGTCACTCCGATGCATCCGCTTCGCAGCGATCCGCTCCTGTGTCGTTGACGCGCTGCAGGCCCAAGCGCTCCCGGAGGCTTCTGGTGGGCGACCACCTCGCGTGCGATCGCGCTTCGGCGTCGTTTCCGCTTCGGCTTTAAACCAAATTAAGGATCCGAAGGAGTGAACTGGCCAAAGTCGCCGAACTTCTTTTGTTTTTCCCAACATGGCCCAAACCCAGCAAGTTTAAGGTCCAAGAACTCGGAAAGTTGTAGGCAATACCAACTTTTGACAACCCTTTGGAGGGATGTGGCTAAACATTGCAAACATGGATTGTGGGGGTTCAAGCAGGGCATTGCTCTTCAGCTGGCTTTCCATCTTGATTTTGGTGAATGACAGGGAGCTTCAAAGGGACAGCCTTGAGCAACTCGTATGTGTGGATGCTTGTTTACTAAATTTACTCCCGTCATGACTTTGGTTGCGAAGTATTCCCAATCCCTCCCCCAAATTACGATGATTTAGGCCCTCGACACTGGGGTTTCATGGGATATATAGCCACTATGGCCACCATGTCTACGGCATGTCATTTTGGGAGGGGACCTTATTTTGGAACCAGCAGTGGACATGTCCGAAGGTGCTCCAAGACCAAGCAAAGGTCGATCACTTCAGGTTCTTGGGAAAGCCATGAGCTTTTGTGAACCCAAAAGAGCTCACACTACCCGTTTCCAATTCCTATAAACCAGGGGTTCAAATCTCCAACCACCACTCCAAACTTTGCCTCACTTCCGTTGATTGCCTAAAAGCAGTCCAAACTCTTTGTTTTTACCACTAAAATGGTCTTCCCAAAATGTTTCAAGTCCAGGAACTCGGGAAGTGAGAAACAAATTAGGGGCTACCTGAAGATCGGTTTTTTCTTTTTCGGATCGATTCGAACAACAAATTGCCATCTGGACATGCCTACTTGGGACCCCCCCAAAATGGATTTCGGCTTCCCTTTTGGTTTCCCTCTGGCACAGGCACTGGAAAAATAACCCATCTGACGCGCCGGCAGGAAGGTGGCCGGATCTGTCATATCCAGCTCCGAAGTCGACATGAAGTGCCTGAGCCCCCAAAAAGCTTGCCGGGTTGCCAAAAGTTCAATCACTTCAGTGGATCCATGTACCTGTATGACCAAAAAACCACCCGGCATAAAAACCAAAAGGAACACAAGCTGGTTGCCAAAAAGGGTAGCTGGGATCCATTGTGCCCGCAAAAACCTCCCCGGTTCCCACAAACGAAAACACGCCCCACCCCTCGATTTGTGCGATTCTGACAGTCTGGCATTCTTCTAAGACCTGATGATACTTCATGGTTTCCTCTTGAAGTTCCCAGTGCTCTTTTGATACTCTTTCCACTCCTTGGCACATGAGCCCAAAACCGTGGCTTCTTTCTTTGCAGCCACGAAACATGAAAAGAATCGAACAAGTAAAAGACAAGAACTGTGAAGATACTAAATTCTCTCTTGATGCTACTTGGCGCTCTCGCTTTCTCCGCAGGAATGGATCCATGTCGAACCCGGGGATCGATCTGGGATGGCTAGAGGAAGGATGCACGAACCCAACCAATTTAGATTGGAGGTTGATCCATCAATCAGTCATGGTCCATCCATCCCACTAGCTGTGCTGTGGATTTTGAAATCCCAGAGGTTTCGATGGTTTTTGGGCCCTCAAACAGCCAGGTTTTGAGAACCCCAAACACCTCCGGGGTGTGTAATGGAGGGTCGGGTCTTCCATTGGGATCAGTATTTGTTGTGCAAAACAAGCTCTGCATAAAAAACTGCTCTTGCAACCCGTTCGAAACACCACTGGCAGAGTTCGGGCGTTCAAAACCTGACACCAAGCGCCTTGGCGTGGCGGGGTGCAGACTTGAATCGGTTCTGATATCCTTTCCGCAAAACCAATCTATGCATGAAGGGCATTGCTTGAATTGATGCGAACTGGATGCTACAGCTACAGGGTGGCAAACAAATAAACGTCTGTGAGTAAGAATCAAACCTGTTGATGGAATCTACAACAAACCCGTGGTAAAGCATCAAGCTGTGGTTCTTGCCACCCATCTATGGCAAATGTGCTGTCCGTCTAGCATTCGTCGCAAGACAAGGGTCATGATTGGCAAATGCAGCGGGCAATGCCAAATGAAGTTCAAACCCGAGGACAATTCACCGAGTGCCTTGGCCAAAAGAAGGGAACCACACTGAAGTGGTCTCCTCTAAAATGCACAAAAAGTGACGAACTCAAGTCCCGGTTCCGGAACAGAAGTGAGCTGTAAAATGGATGAGCTTCCCTTTGGTGCCATAAAAACGTTGAGCCGTGAACAGTAGCAACTCCATTTGCCTAAGTCCCCCGGAGCAACAAAAAAAACAACAAATGCTTCAGTACGATAGATTCCCTTTAACACCCAACAGGGAACCGGAAGCCTCAGGCATGACTCTCTGCATCCCCGAATCTGGGTCTCGGCCCCTGGGATTCTGGGATTGTAGGTCACTTCCCATTCCGAATCGAAAACTTGCCCCGATTCCCCGGGTGTGCGCGCTTTTTTCCAAGAAGCATACCTGGAAATAGGCCCAAGACCCCTAGAATGTCCCTCAAATGTCCATCTCCCATCATTCACAGACCTGCACAGCTGGAACCGATCCACCCGCTCGTACGTCCCAAATAATCGGACACCCGGATCGGCAGTCGGCTCTTTCGGCCCCCGGCCGGAACTCTTCCATGCCTAAAAGGCCAGCCAAAGGCTGGGAACCCGGTTGTTTTGAGATCCTGCTAAAAGTGACTCCAAAGTGGGGAAATTTCTCGGGAATCCAAGCACTATTCCAACAAAATCTTGAAACGCAAACCGAAGGAACCGGATGGCGAGTCAAGTTACTGCACACCATGGATACTCTACGACTGGGGAGAAACCACCTATCCCTGGCGCGAAGTGGATTTTGTCCACCTGTGTGAGGATGTGTGAGGGTCTTTTTTTCGGGGGCGAAGGGAACCAAAATCAAGCTCGGGGTCCCCTATGGACTTTTGGTTCTACCCTGGCTACAAGTTGGTTGCTAATTGTGTTCAAGCAAATAGCAGAACCTACTAACATACGAACATGGCCAAGGAGGGCTTTGGGCGCTGCTTATGCGGGTGTCAAAGCAAGACTCCAAACTGCCGTAGTCCGCGGTGGTCCTGCTGTCTTCCCTTTCAAGCGAGAGGGTGCCTCCAACAAAAACGCACACCGTCTTTCTTTCTCAAGCTCCACCCAGACCCCCGATGGCCATGCTACGCGACTTTACCGGGTAACCCACCAAAAAGGAAAAGGGCCTCACAAACCACAGAGGCTTCTGGCAGTGTGCGTCAATGAGATTCCTTTCCAATGCGGATGTGGTGAGAGGCCCCAAGCCAAACTGGAGGAATCTGGCGAAGTGGCTGGACTAAAACCTGCGGTCCAATTCCTGGTGGTCTAATTTTGACCCACACCCAAGTGAACTTCACAGCGCCTTGGATCAAAAGAGATCCCAGGCTGCATTTCTCTGGGCAAACATGGCTCTATGGACATGAATTTTCCCCCCTTGGCATTGGTCTGAACGTCCAGCCCAAGTGCAAGCTTCATGGTTGCGAAGTTCGGCTCTATACTGCATGGTTCCACGCACCTGGACACAACTCATTGCACGTTAATCATCAAAGGAAGTTTAACAAGAAACTTCCGTAGTACTGGAACTAAATGAGCTAGCTGCTTTGACATATAGCTATGACAGGTAGCTAGCATGACAAATAGATAGCTTTGACATATAGCTAGCTTGACAGATAGATAGCTTTCCAATAGGCTTGCATGACAGATAGATAGCTTTGACATATAGCCAGCTTAACACGTAGATAGCTTTCTCAAGTATAGATTTCGTGGCAGGCGCAGCACTTTCGCAAGCACTCTCTGCGAGCTGGGGGATGGCAAGATGCAGAAAACGTTGGCGCTGTGCGTGAATTGGGCTTCCGGACTGTGCGCAAACCACCTCGGCTGCGACGCCTGTACGGCGGCGGTCTCGGAACGGTCTCGGAAACGGGCCCATTGGCACGGCCGCGCGAAGGTTTCGCAAGGTTTGAATTGCGTGGCAGGCGCAGCACTTTCGCAAGGTCAAGTATAGATTTCGTGGCAGGCGCAGCACTTTCGCAAGGTCAAGTATCGATTTCGTGGCAGGCGCAGCACTTTCGCAAGCACTCTCTGCGAGCTGGGGCTTTGACATATAGCTATGACAGGTAGCTAGCATGACAAATAGATAGCTTTGACATATAGCTAGCTTGACAGATAGATAGCTTCCAATAGGCTTGCTATGACAGAAGATAGCTTTGACAATAGCCAGCTTAACACGTAGATAGCTTTCTCAAGTATAGATTTCGTGGCAGGCGCAGCACTTTCGCAAGCACTCTCTGCGAGCTGGGGGATGGCAAGATGCAGAAAACGTTGGCGCTGTGCGTGAATTGGGCTTCCGGACTGTGCGCAAACCACCTCGGCTGCGACGCCTGTACGGAGGCGGTCTCGGAACGGTCTCGGAACGGTCTCGGAACGGGTTCGGAACGGGTTCGGAGACGGGCCCATTGGCACGGCCGCGCGAAGGTTTCGCAAGGTTTGAATTGCGTGGCAGGCGCAGCACTTTCGCAAGGTCAAGTATCGATTTCGTGGCAGGCGCAGCACTTTCGCAAGGTCAAGTATCGATTTCGTGGCAGGCGCAGCACTTTCGCAGGAGCTGCGTCACTCTCTGCGAGCTGGGGGATGGCAAGATGCAGAAAACGTTGGCGCTGTGCGTGAATTGGGCTTCCGGACTGTGCGCAAACCACCTCGGCTGCGACGCCTGTACGGAGGCGGTCTCGGAACGGTCTCGGAACGGTCTCGGAACGGTCTCGGAACGGTCTCGGAACGGGGTCGGAGACGGGCCCATTGGCACGGCCGCGCGAAGGTTTCGCAAGGTTTGAATTGCGTGGCAGGCGCAGCACTTTCGCAAGGTCAAGTATAGATTTCGTGGCAGGCGCAGCACTTTCGCAAGGTCAAGTATCGATTTCGTGGCAGGCGCAGCACTTTCGCATGGTGCTGCGTCCACTCTCTGCGAGCTGGGGGATGGCAAGATGCAGAAAACGTTGGCGCTGTGCGTGAATTGGGCTTCCGGACTGTGCGCAAACCACCTCGGCTGCGACGCCTGTACGGAGGCGGTCTCGGAACGGTCCCGGAACGGTCTCGGAACGGTCTCGGAACGGTCTCGGAGACGGGACCATTGGCACGGCCGCGCGAAGGTTTCGCGAGGTTTGAATTGCGTGGCAGGTGCAGCACTTTCGCAAGGTCAAGTATAGATTTCGTGGCAGGCGCAGCACTTTCGCAAGGTCAAGTATCGGTTTCGTGGCAGGCGCAGCACTTTCGCAAGGTGCTGCGTCCACTCTCTGCGAGCTGGGGGATGGCAAGATGCAGAAAAAGTTGGCGCTGTGCGTGAATTGGGCTTCCGGACTGTGCGCAAACCACCTTGGCTGCGACGCCTGTACGGAGGCGGTCTCGGAACGGTCTCGGAGACGGGCCCATTGGCACGGCCGCGCGAAGGTTTCGCAAGGTTTGAATTGCGTGGCAGGCGCAGCACTTTCGCAAGGTCAAGTATAGATTTCGTGGCAGCCGCAGCACTTTCGCAAGGTCAAGTATCGATTTCGTGGCAGGCGCAGCACTTTCGCAAGGTCAAGTATCGATTTCGTGGCAGGCGCAGCACTTTCGCAAGGTGCTGCGTCCACTCTCTGCGAGCTGGGGGATGGCAAGATGCAGAAAACGTTGGCGCTGTGCGTGACTTGGGCTTTCGGACAGTGCGCAAACCACCTCGGCTGCGACGCCTGTACGGAGGCGGGTTCGGAACGGTCTCGGAGCGGGTGCGGAACGCCCATTGGCACGGCCGCGCGAAGGTTTCGCAAGGTTTGAGTTGCGTGGCAGGCGCAGCACTTTCGCAAGGTCAAGTGTAGATTTCGTGGCAGGCGCAGCACTTTCCCAAGGCCAAGTGCAGATTTCGTGGCAGGCGCAGCACTTTCGCAAGGTCAAGTATAGATTTCGTGGCAGGCGCAGCACTTTCGCAAGGTGCTGTATCCACACTCTGCGAGCTAGGGGATAGCAAGATGCAGAAAACGTTGGCCCCGTTTGTGAATTCGGCGTTGCGACGCCTGCTCGGCAGAGGGTTCGGGGCGGTCTCGGAACGGTCTCGGCAGAGAGACGGAGAGATCGATATGTTAAAGAAAGAAAGACTTAAAGACAGAAAGACAGGAAGGACGGAAAGAAAGACTGAGAGAAAGAGAGTCAGCGAAAGAGAGAAGCACGACAAGTGCAAGAAGCCGCAGAAAGACACGGGTGTCTTTGATTGCTCAGTCCAAGGCACTCTGCAAGAGTAACTGTCTTTTGGCAGACTTTACGTGGCTCAAATGTAGTTACTTTCGTGACTTGGGCATTTGGCACACCTCACACCTGACCACACAACTTGTCACACTTTACTCAACCCCACAGTCAGTCAAGCGCTCCAAGGGATGTTGTTTTGTGTTGTTCTGTTTGTGCAGAGAGTCACAGTCTGTAAGCAGTATTAGTGGCGCCCGTGTTTCCCCTCAGGGGGACTTTTTACAGACTACTCAGAAAATCAACAACCAACAACGCATACGACTTTTTTTCAGAGGTTGGTGCTTCGGCCGGCCGCTTGCGCACCCGCTACTCAGGGCAGCTTGGCGTTTCGGCCGGCTGCTCGCACCATGGATCGCGATGACAGCAACACTAGTGAGGACCGCTTTCAGGTCCTGTTGACCTACCTAGCGGCAAACGCCGCAGAACTGCGACAGCTGCAGTGCCAAGACATGGCCTCGCTTTTGCGCACTGGCGAGGCCAGGCGAGGCAAGCCGGCCATTCCAGACAGGGCCGCCTTATACCGGTTCCTTCAGAGACAGGGCCACGCTTTTACAGAGGGGCAGAGGGAGGAGCTCCGGGCATGGGAGGCTCGGCTGTGCGTGTCGCCCAAGCAAGCGCAGCCGGAGCTCCAAGATCAGTATGAAAGGTTTCTCGCGCTGCTTGAGAAACGAGCAGATTTTTTTATTAGCTTGCGCAAGGTGTCTTTGAAAGCTTTATTTGAAGTCCACGCAGCGAAGACCGACAAGGAGCTTCGGTTCGGCAAAAACTTCATGCTTCGCTGCTACCCACAGCTTTCACAAGAGCAGAAGGACGAGCTGGCCGAGTGGGAGGCCATGCTTTGTGAGCCTGGCGAGGGCGAGCGCCTGGCGTTTCGGCCGGCGCTGCAGCGACAGCTGGAAAAGTTTATCGCGGTGCTCGAAAATCGAGCTGAGTACTTGCAGAGCTTGCAGAAGCCTTCGCTTAAAGCTTTGTTTGAAGCGCCGTGAAAAATGATCAGGAACTCAAGTTCGGCCAAAATTTCATGCTTCGCTGCTACCCACAGCTTTCGCAGGAGCAGATGGACGAGCTGGCCGAGTGGGAGGCCATGCTTTGTGACGCTGGCGAGGGCGAGCGCTTGGCGTTTCGGCCGGCGCTGCAGCGACAGCTGGCGAAGTTTATCGCGGTGCTCGAAAATCGAGCTGAGTACTTGCAGAGCTTGCAGAAGCCTTCGCTTAAAGCTTTGTTTGAAGCGCACGCCGTGAAAAATGATAAGGAACTCAAGTTCGGCCAAAATTTCATGCTTCGCTGCTACCCACAGCTTTCGCAGGAGCAGATGGACGAGCTGGCCGAGTGGGA